GAAATTGAATTGTACATCTAAAAATATTGCAGAAACCAGGGATCCACAAGATACTGAGCGAAAATATGTGAACTACAGTGAACAGCCGAATTTAGAAAGTAATACTTATAAAGGCGGTTGGGTTCAGAAGAGACTGTTTGTTGTAATAAGCGAACATTGTATGGTAGTAATCGCAACAATACGTATTCTTTACATGGAATGAAATAACGGACAAGGCTGCATGTTAAAACAAGTTTTTTAAACTCACAAAAACGCTAAAACAGTGCTCAAATAAGCAACATTTCGAGAAGAGAGTAGCAGTATTGGCATGATCCCAGAAATTTATTACCACACAGACATTTCTGACATAATCACAAGCTTTTTGAACGGAATTTGTGCAAAATCTCCCAGTTTTCTACCAACAGCTTCCTTTAAGTAGTGTAGCTGTACTTTTTTTTACCAAGTCCCTTCCCTTTCTCTCTTTCCCAGTCCATTAAAATGGCATTCCCTTTGGTGTCTCAGATTGAGCAACATGACAAATTTGCAAGTCTATAACAAAGTCATATATAAAATTCAGAAAATCCTTTGGGGTTATACAAAATTCTGGTCCTTTAAACGATCGGCTCCAGAACAGCCAGTTGTTCTCACAAGCCAGGCGCAGCTATGCAACGCCGTTTGTTTCTGAGCTGCTTACTTCCAGACAGTACCTAACTGCCTATGTTACATCGCTTCTTCTAAGGTTTCACATGCGCTGTCCAAGGTATTTGACATTCCCGCGTGGTCACAACAACATCAAAAAAAGTTAACACTACTTTAGACAGAACCAGCAGCGGCATCAGGCTTGCGGGTGCAATCAGGTTTTTTTTTGCACGGTGTCCTGCACAAATGTTTTCAGCTGAATAGCACTAATTTTTTCGGGCAGAAACTTCTAGCTAAGCGTATAGAAATGCTCATCCAATTTGGATTAGTCATTATCAATATTTTTATTTTCATATTTTTATTTTTTATTTCCATGCTGTTAATGTATCGTGCGACAAGTATCAGCGCCAAATTGCACCAGTCATGAGATGCGAACGAGAAAGCTGTTTACACACAGACTTTTACCCAGTTGTGGTCATGAGTCACACACACACACACACACACACACACACACACACACACAAACACACTAGCTACTGTGGTTGCGATGTTACAACACTGTCACGTCAAGTCGAAATTGCCCGTGCATTAGATCTAAAGAGAAGGTGAAGGCTGTTTTCATGTGCATTTACCCAAAGATCGGCTATGCATAGAAAATTCCAACTCTATAGCTGCTTTTTTTGCATTGTTTCAAAATTTTTTGAGCCAAATCGCACGTGTTCGTACAATAAATGTCGAGGGGAGTGAAAGCTCAATTTACTTTAACGGACATATACATGGTCAGTACACAGCATGTAAAATTACGCCTTTCTACCCAACCTAATCTTCGCGTTGGCACGACACCAATTTGAATCCCGATGTGTACTTAAGTAAGACCTAGGCGCATGTAAACGTTGGATTTAAATTTTTCTTTAGGGGGTGGGAGATAAATGGGCAAGAAAAATCCTCGTAAAGTTCCAATGCCCCAGCCACTTTGCCTCAACTTTCTAGCCATGAAACTTGCCAAAATGTCTTTCACGTATCCATATGTGAGAACTACGGAGATCGCGAACGTTCATTTTACGCTTAAGGGACCCATCAATAGTGGTAGGCCAAACTGCAAAACTTCAACCTCAAAGATTTCGTAGGCCTGGAGATTAAAATATGTGATCAGACGTTACGTACTGTATATATACATTCACATAACCTTCTCAAATTATGCGTTTGCACTGCATGATGTAAAAAAGTACAGAAAACAGTAAACAAACTTCAGTTGTGCAATTTCTTTTTCCATCGCTCTTTGCTTTTCCATTTTCCCAAGCACTGAACAGTCGCGTCCGAACTCTGACTGATCCATGGAAAGGCACATCAACTGTTCTGCCACTTTTGAGCACCTCACATGAAGTTGGAATATGACGGGATAATGATTTTAACTCTGGAATAGCCCCGATTTCGGCTTGAGCAGGACAGGATACGAGCAGGTACAGCACCTTGACAATAGCTCGACTGCTCCGTCAGGCGGCCGAATGAAGAATGGTAGCCGGATTCTTTTCCAAGACTTTATATACGCAACCTGTCGGGGACATTTCGGTCGCCCTCATCAACAGTAGCCTCAATTTTCTTGCATAGATGCAAATTTTGCAGCCACATGCAAACTTATGCAAATTTCACTCTGCACTGGAACAGATGCACAAAGAACAACGGAAAAAAGACATTCAGAACTAAAATCCTGTCAAAGAATGTTAGCTGTGGCACTATTCATGGTCCCGGACAATCCAGCACGATTCGGAAAGAACGCCCGTAGCATTCCGTGGAGCGCTGAAAATTGCTGAAAATGCTAAAAATTCCATTCGAAGCAAGAAACTTATATAACGTCCACTTTTCGGAAAATGTTCTTTGGAAGTCGTCTCTGCATTGCGCTCGAATGGACAATACGACGTTTCTGATAAACAGTCTTTTCCATTTGCTTTGACTAATGCTGCATCGCCTGGTGATCAGCCTGCTCGCAGTACTGACGTTCGTTTTATTATGCGTTTTTTGCAGCAATGCAATGCGAAAAACGCATATTGACGAGAGGTTGTCTGT